TCTTCTGTAGAAAATTAACTGATTTAAGGGGATGTTTTCTTCCCAAGCTACCCCACACATGTAATTGCCTCTACTCCTCAAGACAAGACAACAATTAGAACAGACATGCAACTATTACCGAATGGCATCATGCAGAAGAGTTAACGCTCAGATGCTACTGGATCGCTAACAACAACAACAACAACAACAACAACAACAACGATAAACCTGTATTTCTTTCTACTAACCAATGTATCTTTCTATACAATGACTTAACTATATGTATATTACCCCACATATCTATTGATTTATATGTGTCACAAAGCCGTGGAATCAGACGCTCGTCAATTTTTGACCAAGTGGAGTTATTGGTAGCGTCTGAAAGCGAGTTCATTTGCCTTGCTTTCAATGAAAAAAATATCCATCTTGTTTGAATAGAGGTCCAAATATTTGCGATTGAAGAATGCGGGGTAGCCTGGTTTCAGTGGCTGAATTAATGAGAAGATGGCCGCCAAAGTTTGATAACTTCAATAGCTTGAGAGTCCTTGAAAACTGAAAACTACACATTTTGTGAATTTAAACAAAGTTTTTCTGTAAAATTCATGTGGAAGTGTGTTTTCATATGAGCATAAAAGGTGTTTAGCCAAAAAACAAAATTTCAATAAAGTTGCCAAATTGGTGGAAAAACGTCTTTTTCTTCGATTTTATTATTTTGACGAGCGCCTGATTTCACCACGATGCCTCACATATAATCGAATATTTAAAATACCTCGTGTGTCCACGAGCAATTGCATCAAGAACAATATGTCGGTATATTATTATTAACAGATCTCTTGATCTTCCTGACTCTTAATCAATAATATTCATTTATTATCTCAACATACCTTCATAATATTATATCACAATAATACGAATTTAGTCTAATACTTTCATGACTTCAATTTATTACGTCACTCTATCAATTAACAAGTTAGCGAACCCCAGAACAATAATTGTGCCTTTACTGTACCTACAAATTGTGTAAAAGTAAAGTAAAGTAAGTACAAATTGTGGGAAAACAGACATCAAAACTCCTTATGTAAGGCGCCTAGGGCTGTGTTCACACGGGAGTGGGCGCTATAGAAATGATGATGATGATGATGATGATGATGATGATGAAGATGATGATGATGATGATGATGATGATGATGATGATGATGATGATGATGATGAAGATGTGATGAAGATGATGATGATGATGATGATGATGATGATGATGATGTTGATAAAAGATGATGATGATGATGATGAAGATGACGATGATGAAGATGATGATGAAGATGATGATGATGATGATAATGATGTTCATGATGATGATGTTGATGTTGATAAATGATGATGATGACGATGATGATGATAATTATTATTATTATTATTACTATTTTACCCAAACTTGTTCAGTTGATCCAGGTAGGTTCCACAGATGTCGGGGATGAGCAGCTTTCCGCCGAAAATGACGCCATTGCAGTAGGTGGAGGAGGCGAAGGTGGCGGCTGCTATACCCTGGTAGTCACAGGACGCCGCGGGGCTGGT